TCTTTTATGAGCATCTCAATTTGGCTCATTATTTCACGTTGATTTCATTGCTTTAGCACAAAGGTATTTACAACTGCTGTTCATGGTATTTTATAAATAAGGGAAGTTCGCAAATTACCATTTTGGTTAATTACATTATTTATACTTTTTCCCGACTAAAAGCTTTATCACCGTATGTTGCTCTTAAATCATTTGTTTATGGGGGCATATGATGAGGCAAGTATGTATTTACCATTATGATCTACAAAGCTACTTCAAAGCTATTCTGGGGAATAACTAAAATATTCTTAGAAAAAATGAGTAACTGTGTCGAATAGATTCGTATATGCAAGTTTGCTTAATCCGTAATGCAATCCAGTTGCAGAGAGTGGAGGGATAAAGTCTTACCATGATGCTAAAGACCCGAGTTTGAGTCCTGTTGAGGATATTGATGAGACTGAGGCAGGGTAGAAACACAAGTCCAGCTTGGGTCAGAAACTATGTTGGTAGGCAAGGATGGGGGATTGTGTTTATAAGTAGGTTTTCTAGACTATTAGATCATATATATGAGATGCATTCACCCTCTTTCGTCTAAGGTTATAATGAGATTGGTAATTGAATTTCCCCCCAATCACATGAGTTGATCTTAAGTTCAAATTGAATTTCACATAAAACTGTTTTCCCAAAAGGTATTCACATTTCGGCTGAAGTGGCCAGACAGGTCCGACTACACCTGAACTAGTCTCATCAAAACCCATAACGGGACTAGAACTATGACAGTGCAGCGGATAATCTCGACACCCTAATTTCTACGCCAAACTGCCACGAATGCCTCTGAGTCATAGAAAAAATGTCAATTTCAGGAAAAGCCAGACATTGGTGAGATTGTCGCAAACTCAAGGTTATATTCGCTATAACAATAGATTAAATTACACATTTTTCATGTATAAGTAGGCTTTCAAGTCTATTAATAGATTATATGTATGAAATATTTTCACACTATTTCGTTTAAGGTGGTAACGGGCGACAGAGAGTGGACATATGACATATATCTATTGTATAACTCGAAAGCCTACTTATAATTGAATAATGTGTAATTTAGTCGATTCTTATAGCGAATATAACTTAGCTCAATCGAAAATCCTTCCAAAGAATGAGTTATGGGAAATTCAGATCAACCCTGTGGCCCAAGGACACTGGCGGCATGTGGCATAGTGGGTAACGAGTAAAGATTATTCGATACGATATTACTGTTCGAGTCCCGCTGTGGGCGCTGATGAGGCCTAGGCGAACTCAAATCTACAGTCCTCTCCTGTTTGAACGAGATTATCTTTTAAGAAGCAATGCTATGCAAAATTCAATTCAATTCTACTCATATGTTTGTGTGAAAATTGAACCACCAATACTCCATCACCTCATACGAAATAGCGAGCGCATCTCATAGGACGTTCGGACCGTTTCATAGTAGAAAAAAATCTACTATGAAACCTTATATGAATTTATGAGTCTTAGTGATGTGATAACTTTGATTTAACTTCTTAATGCATATTTAACATTTACAAATTATTATAATTTTTTAGAACTAACATTCGGAGATATCAGGTACAGGCTTCCGGTAGGCTTCGTATCGATACCCTGTCCGAAGGTAGCTACTACACTGTATGTCTGCGCTCGGACAACTCTTTTTTTCCCCCGAACGCAGCCTGTACACGTTGGCCCACGGTCTTTGATCAGAGAAAAGCCAGTTTGCCCATTGAAAGCAAGCCTTACACCGTCGCCGGATTCCTTGGGCTGTACGTCGTCTCGCATGGCAGCAATTGGGCCCAGCTTGGCTGGCGAGCCCCCAACAGGGATCTTCAAGGAGGGCCGATAGTCCTGTCCCCTCCTGTGGCCTACCTCTTGTTTGTGCTCAAATCGAAACGACAAAGATGCCCTGAACAGATACACTTCTTTGCTCCTCCTTGGGTAAGTCAGCCAGATGACAGGATCTCACTTTCCACTAAAATGGCTCGTCAGCAGCTTGTATTTGAGCCCATTCTTCATCTTCCATGCTTTAGTTATGTGTACAGAATGCGAGAAAAAAGTCGAACTATTGGCACCGATATAGCTGGAATGCAAATTTCTAAAATAAATCTTTCATTATTAGCATCTTTTAGAGTACAGGTAGGCAGATATTTTCTCAAAATGTCGAGGTTCATTAAAGGAATTGTGTGCTTAACAAGCATTTGCTTGTTAAGATTTAGGGAGTTTATTGCCCACACTCATTTGTGACTATAGGCCCATAGTGTGACATATGATCCCAATCCTAGAAGTGAGGAAAAGAAGCTTTATGCTTCGCATAAAGATCTTCTGGATTATTCCTCGCTCTTTGCCTCCGTCATATTTTTGCTTAAGGTACAAAAGTTCAAAAGTGCTTTAGAAATTTTGAATGTACTTCCCCATACAATCCATACCTTCACATACTTAAAATTGTCTGATAGGGAGTCATAAAAGCTTGTGGAAAACTGTGAGTATCTGTGAAATCTGTGTTTTTTCAGTCATATAAAGACTTGAAAAATCTTAAGTCTATATTAATTAAATCACTTTTTCATTAGCTGCAATTAGTTTAAAGTATACATGACTTGCCGTTTAAGCCATCACAAGACCTGATGGAAAACACAAAGAGTTGGAATTAGTGAGATTCGCTGATTTAGGCGTGGTTTTTAGACAAGTTTATAAAAATTAATGCAATTTATTAATGTTGTACTTAAGTGGGATATCAAATTCATACTAAAATGGC